GGGGGGGCCTTGGCCACCAGCTGCTCCGTCACAGCTGTGAACACAGCAGGTCACGGGCAGCCTCGCTGCAGCTCAGAGCTAGGGTGGGGGCCTCTCTGGCATGCGTTAGCCCCATGAGGTGACAGCCCCCTCGGCCCACACCACCCGACAGCCCATGAACACAGCCGGCCCTGGGCAGGGAGAGGCAGCGAGCAGGAGGAAACCGGCACCACCAGCCGGGGACAGTGATGGAGACAGGAGATTTGCAGAGCAGTGCAGAAATGGGGGCTGCTCCAGTTCCAGCAAAGCTATTTCAGGCAGCAGAGGGCAATGGGGGGTCAGCTCCAGCGGACGGGGCAGCACGCGAACCCGGATCCCCAGCTCCCAGCCCAGCACTCACCCCCAGCGCTCGCTGCCACAGATGCCACCCGAGTGAAGGTCTCCTGCCCGATGCTCAGCGTCACCTCGCACCTGAACTCTACCCCTTCTCCCACCTCTTTCCCGGCCACCAGCAGCGTGGACACGATGTCAAACAGCTCCTCGTCGGTCTCCATGACATCAAAGTCTGCCTCCCCCAGCGCCTGGTCCCCTCGGTACCAGGTGAGGACCAGCCCCACGAGTGGGTACACCTGCCTTGCCAAGCAGCGCAGGCTGGCAGGCTGCCCCAGCTCCAGGGCACGGGGGTCTGCTTCCAGCTGCAGCTTGTCCGGGAGGGCTGAGAGAGGAATTGCAGCATCAAGTGGTGATTTTTGGCACCACAGCCCAGGAGGGGGCTGGCTGCCTTGGGGGTCCAGGACTTCGCCGGGGAAGTGGTGAGGGATGGGCTGGGGAGTGCTTACCATAGACCTTCAGGTCGACAGTGTGCTGGTAGCGCTGCCCATGGCAGGTCCCCTGGCAGATCTTGGTGCCCTCCGTGGCAACAACGGCGCTGCTGACGTGCAGGATGCTGTGGGTGGGGAAGGAGGTGATGGTCCCCAGGTTGGTGTCCAGCCCCTTCCACTGCACCGTGCCCCCTGCACAAGCTAGGGAGCAGTTCAGCTGTGCCGAGCCCCCGTACGCCACCACCGGCTCCCGTGGCATCACCACCAGCTTGTTAGCAGGTCGACCTGCGCAGAGGAAGGAGGAAAGCATGGGTTTAAGGAAGGGGACAATCATCAGGACCCGGTTGTTTGCAAGGCAAACGGGACGCTGGTTCCCCCATTTGCTAAGAAGCAGACGGTCGTGCTCAGGCACTGCATAAGCTCCATCCCCATCCCCATGAGGGGAGTACTACTCGCTAGCAACACCTCGTTAGGAGCGGC